TATATTAATTCAATTAAAATTTGATTATTCAAAAATAACAAATCAATTTTTATAATTAAATTGATTAAATTGATCCGATCCAATTTTAAAATAATGATAAAAAATAAAAATTAATTCAAATATTATTCACAATTAAGTCAAATTATAACAAAAAATTATCTGATAGTCTACATGAACTCAATTAATTTTTTTAATTAGGTTTTTAAAACTTTCACCAAAATAATTTTTAAATGATAAACTCTTAAAAAAATTGTTAAACACAAACACAAAGAGCTTCGTATATATCAAACATATTAATTTGTATGATCTTTTAAAAAGTGAAAACATGAAAAAAAAAATTGTACAAGGTAATATTATATTACCGACGGATTTGTAACCGTCAGAAAATAAATATTACTGACGGATATAAAATATTTGTGAAATTTGATCTTACCGACGGATATATCCGTCGGTAAAATAATAATTAGTTACAGACGGATATATCCGATCGATAAATCCGTCGGTAATTTATAGATGAATTTACCAACGGATATATCCGTCGGTAAATTCGTCGATAAATTAATAATTAATTACTGACGGATATATCCGTCGATAAATTCATCTGTAAATTACCAACGGATATTCAGTCAATAAATTAACAATTAGTAAATATTCAACTAATTAAAAAATTAAATATTTTTTATTTAATAATTTTATTTAATCATAATTAGATTAATTTATAATAATTTCTTCAATTAAATAATTTAAAAAAATAAATATTTAATTATATATAAATATATAAAAATATATAAAAATATTTAAATATATAAAAATATTTAAATATATATATATATATATAAATATATATAAAAATATAAATATATAAAATATAAATATATAAAAATATAAATATATAAATATATAAATATAATTTATTTGTAAATTATTATAAAAAAATTCTAGTAACTTAGTGGTTGGAGTATCGATCTCGAACTTTAAGATGCTTGGGTTTGAATCCTGCCAAAGATGACAATTCTCTTAATCTGATAATAATTGAAGCCTATAAAAATGTAATAGGGAAAAATAATTAATAATAAATACTAAAAATATTAAGGAAGGTTTTATAAAATAAATAAACTATATATATAGAGAGAGAGAGAAAAAAAGATGATAGATGGGTCCAATGTGAAATAATTTTCTTCCCAATCTTTATTATCATCGTTGTAATAATAATAATTCACGGGTACTTCGATTAAAGAATAAGAAAAAACAATAAATAATGGTTAAAAAAATACTATTTTCTTCGTATAATGTAATATCTTTGAATAATTTGAAATAAAAAAGTTAGTTAAAAAAATTTATATAAATTTTTTCATTTATATTAAATAAAAAAATAAAATTAATATTTACATTTATTAATGGGATTTTGCACAATTTAAGTATAATACAAAAGTAAAAATTGAAAAATAAATCAAAAGAATTTGATTAAAAATTTAAATAAAAGTAAATGACATAGTTTATGAAGTGGATACAAGCAATTGTATTTTAGTTTGATATTATATACCAGAATTGGTTTAAAGCGTGGATGAACATGACAAGCCAATACAAGATAGTTTGCACAAATAGTCTTGAATTTGTTGGAAAAATCTCACCTTTTTCGTCATGCAAGTTCAAATCTATCAGATTGTTCAAATCGGATTTAATACATATATATATATATATATATATATATATATATATATATATATATATATATATATATATATATATATATTATTTTCAAATCTAATAAATTATCTTATTAATAATTTATGGATCAAAATTAGTCGTGATAATTTTAAATTTAAAAATAAATTTACAAATACATTTTACATCAATAAATTGATAAATTAGTTAGATTTTTATAAATTGAATAATAAATAAATTAACTTTTTGGTAACATTTAAGGGATTGAAAATAGATTATTATGTATATTTTTTATTTTATTAATTATAAATGCATATTTAGAAGTTAACTTCTACTGGTTTTAACATGCTATTGGTGTCTAACTCCATAAGAATGAGAGTACTAATAAAAGCAATGTGTCAATTATACAACAAAATTTTGAGCTAATAATTCTTTTGAAAAAGTACTGAAATGTCTCAGGAATCATAGTTAAATATCACAATTTCATTCTGGAATATTAATCAAGTTAACTCATCATACCACAAAAATATATACCTTTCAGCTTATTGCAAGGTGGCACCACATGCACAGCACCAATCTTAGGATGAAAACTTACGCTTTCATGGATATAATTTGGCCATGAAAAGTTTCCTTCAAAACCTAGTATACTTTCAGTATGTCAAAGCAAACCAGAGGGATCTTAGTATTAAAATAGCCGTTGACAGAATCCATATAAGATTGATAGTTTTTCTATCAGAGCAATATCAGACTATATAACAGCAAGTAATTTGCTAAAAAGATAATAAAATAAAACCAATAATTATAAAATTATTGCATATTGACATTTCAAGCATGTTCTCCATACTTTTTTGTGGACACTAACATCCCCAAACATGCAGGGAATGCTCTTGTTCTACACCTTACAATAACCCTAACCACCCTATCTTACCTGTCCAATTAGGAACACCAACCACGTGGCCACTAAATCTCGATCTTCTGTGATTCCACTATTAGTTAATTAATTATGTCCACTGACAAAACGTTGCTGAAAAATCATAGTTGGCTTCTGAGAACCTGTCATCAAAATGCCAAGATCTTCAACCATTTGCAAAGTATTTTAATATTTTAAATCCATGTTCACATGATCCCATGAGCATAACAGCGCAATACATTAATATCTAAATAAGCAATCCAGATGTTATCACATGCCTTGTTCAAAATAGTAATAGATTCTCGGGTTTATCATGTAATCCCTGGATAAGGCTAGCGTTAATCTAATCAGGTTTGTTGTCATATCCCTTACCCTGTTGACACCATCAATCACGTAATGCCTATATCAAAGTTCTAAGCTAACTATTAACAAACGTTGTATATGAATTTGAGTATGTCCTATGCTATCTTACTCATTAGTATTACATAATATGAAGCAAAACTTTTCATTAAAAGTTTCTTAGAAGTAAGAAAACCATGCTTTTTTTTTTCCTTCCCGTGAATTCTAAGTTTCTGATTATAGAAACTTAATTTGTGTCTGATTGTTTGAAGGTCAAATAAAAGTGAGACAACTGGTTGCATCTTCCCTTTTTCAGTAACTTAGTTTGTGCATTGATGCCATTTATGATTTCAACGTTTAGGGAATTTACCATGGAAAATAAATAAACGAGAAAGTTACTCCTGTTTCAATAGTATTCTGCGAACACACGTACATATCTGTAAAACAATATCTCAGTGTTTTCTTTTCATCAGAATTAACATTTGTCTTTTTCGCCAAGACAACAAGAAATTAAATGGGGAAGAGATGACAAGGAAAGAGTAGCACGAAATATGGCAAATTAGCAATGCAGCAGGGAACAGCGCATTCTTCTCTGAAACGAAGTTAATACTAACCTCACATGTGGCTTACTAGTGAACTTTTCACATGAAATTTATGTTTGTATCTCTCTCTCAATAAGCTTTGAACAGGTGAGCCTTTATCAATATTTGTTAATACCAGGAGTGTTAACCAATTTTTTTAATACCCTTTTCAACATACTTTCTACTGTAAAATTTATCAAAAATTATACAACTAGTTTAGTTATATTAAAAAAAAATCTCCCAAAATTGTGATTTCTAATAAGGTTTAGTATAATAAAGAGTTTGTTTAAAAGTATATGATAATATTTATGGGTGAAGAGACAAAATATATAATTTTCACTACACAGTGTAAATTTTTATGTGCATGCACATTCACCTGAGCTGAAATTTGTCGAGTTGCTTTGCATGTCAATGAACAGTTGCTTTTGAGACGTAGAGATATGGGAGGAAGGAAACTAATAGGTGGTGACATGACAACTACAATATAATTTGGTTTATTTTCAGTGTCAAGTTTTGACCATTTTTTTATCAGGTGCAGAAGGGAAAAGGAAAAAGAGAGAGAGAGAGAGGGGAGATTGAAAGTGAAGGTGAAAAGAGAGAAGTGGGTGACAGTGATCACACATGGAGTAGCAAGGACTACTACACTGATCCACTCTCGCTCCTTCCCTTGTCATGAACAAGAAAATCGACAATGTCCCAATCACGAGAATGACCATTTCCAACTCTCCTTGTTTTCTTCCCACCCTTTCCATCTCCTTGTCTTCTTTCCCTCTTGGAATGTGTGTTTGATTCCCTTTCTTTTTTAATACCAACTTTCTAAAATTCCACTACATTTTCTTCACCCTGCCTATGCTATACTATACTCATCATGGATCAATGAATAAATAGTTTTTACAAGCTCTATAGGCTTGTACATATTAACTATGATTAAATTCTTATTAAAAGAAATGTTCACTTTAATGTCTATGTCAACACATAGACATAAAAAAGAGTCTCGTACGTAGTACATGCAAAAATAAATAATTCTTTAACAGTACAAAAGGTTTGATTCAAAAGCAAGCAAAGCTAATTGGATTAAAAAAATGGGGAAAATGTAAGAAGAGAATCTCCCTTTATTTTAATGGCCCCTCTGCAATTGTCTGCTATCAGACACCAACAAGCACGGTCTAGCAGGTAATTGGAAAATTTTTATCACGTCCCATTTCTCAAAAGTTTCAAGAAAACTAGTCACATTAATTAACTCAAAAAGAAAAAGGTAACTAGCTCTTTATTCTTTTATATAAAATTTTCAAGCCCCATCAGAAATATTCTACTTGATATACCCTATTTTATACATCAAGATTTTACCAAAACATGGGTTTTAATTTAATAACTCATTAAGTATGGTAATCAATTGACACAGACACCCTCTAGATGATTTCATTTTCATCCGGAAAAGGGAAAACTACATTGCAATCTGAAACTCTCTCACTCTCACGCACTTCCTCACTCTCTTTGCTGCTTGATCAATTGAAATGCTGCTGCTCCAACCAAGGCCAAAGGCCAGATTGATCATCAATGCCACAAAACATATTGCTTAGGCTCTCTTCTTTGACCATGTGGTCAATCTTTTGGCACTGAAGGTCTGGCCTTGAAGTGGTTTGGAAAAGCTGAGCCACTCCTGTTGGTCTAGTAGAAGATGGAAAGAGGTTTCTGCTGTTCTGCTGAGTGGATAGAGGACTGTCAATAGCTGGGGTTCTTGAAATATCCAACTTGATTTCTGAACTGTTCTCACTTCTATTGCTGCTGGAGCCCTCGGTTTCTTTATTGAGATTGATGGATTCAGTGGGTTCTCTGCTTTTCAGTGCCAATATCTGCGGCAGTGAGTGGCAGCAGTGATATTAGCTAATCCAAAATAGCACAAATATTAACATGCAGGAAAGGTTGGAGTATCAAGCGTGTAATCAGCCTAAAACAAACGCGTCAATGTCAAAAGGAGCCAAATGATTGTTTATTTCCAAACCAAGGAAACTATGCCTTGCATGACAAACATGTAATTGAGTGGAATCTGGTCTTTATGAGTTACTGTGGATGATTGGAAAAAGCATCTTTGCAGAAAGCGATCATAAAAGGTTCTGAAAGCCACGATATATTATTTTTGAAAAAGAAAAAGACCATGATTACCTAGCTTTATTGTACAAAATCAAAACAATCTGTCATACCAGAACTTTAACATCCCTTCACTTCTTCGTCAATTTAGGATTGATTTGAATAAATTTCTCAGCAAGCACATAGCAGAAAGAAACAAAATGAACTAGGAGGTACGAATACATCGATCTTTTCCTATTTAAAAGTTAATTTACGCACCTCAGCCGTGGAAAAAGCTAGAAAAGTTTCTAAAAGAACTTCAATTTACCTATCTTCTTAAATAATTTTATTATCTTTGCATGTAAATATTTGTTAAGAAAATGATCGGAATTGGACCTTTGTAATTTAAGAAAAATCGATCTTCTTTCCTAAGTTCTCTTCTCACATAACTAGAAGCTTTAAAAAAAATTGAACCACAACTAAAATAACAAAAACTTATAGAATATGTAAGAAAATTGCAAACCTCAGTCTGAAGTTTTTGGTTCTGAGCTTGAAGTGCATCATTATCTGCCTTGATAGCTTCATATTGTCTTTTGAGAAGATCATAGTCCTTCTCCAACTGCTTGGTTTTCCACCTAGCCCTCCTGTTCTGGAACCATATAGCAATCTGTCTAGGCTGCAAGCCAAGAGCCCTTGCCAGCTGCATTTTCCTCTCGGGTTCAAGCTTGTTTCCCAACTCAAAGCTTTTCTCAAGTGTCTTCACTTGTTCCATGTTAAGCCTCCTCTTCTTTTCTCCTGCCTGTGATCCGTCATCAGACAAATCTTCCTCAGCATTAGCTTCTTCTCCAAGTTCAATCCCTGAAAATGACATAGATCTCTTGCCTAGAAAGGATGCTCCTCCTGCATCGACATTTGAAACATGGTATTAATGATCATAGCATATTATTGCACTACTAGGTTGGTGTTTAGTGAGTGAGTTTGTGTCTAAAGTGGGTACCATGATACTCTTGAGGTGCACATGAAGTTATAATTGAGTTGAGTGAAGGTGGAGGTTGATGGTCATCTTGGTGAGGTGTTTGTAGCATGAAATTTGCTGGGAAGAAAGCCATATCATTGCTAGTCTATGCCTGCCACTGATATTCAATAGCTGAATGATATTCTGATCACCATGTGGGATGACAAGAGAAGATTGTTGATGCTCAAAGATAAACTGTGTTGTTGTGAAACAACAGACGAAGACTATGGTCTAATACAAAACACCTTCTGCTAAATTGCATAGGATGGATATATTGCTCCAAATGATGGCTTATATAGCTTATCAGTTTCTAGGGAGAGAACTCTTTTTCTCTTATGTGAATATTTGGAAAGATTGGACCAAGTTGTGTGGAAGCAACAATGACAAAGACTAAGGTCTAATGCACCACATCTTCTGCTAATAAATTGAAGAAGATGGACAAATTGCTCTGAAGGGTAGCTTATATACCTTATCGGTTTAAGGGGGAGCCCTTGTTTTCTTTTGTGATAATTTCAAAAGGAAAAGGGAGTTGAGAGAAAAAGGTGAGAGAAAAAAGGAAGATAGGAAGAGAGGGACAAGGGATGAGATGTTTGAATCTATAGTTCTATGCACCATCTTCAATATATATCACTGGATTGGTTTTACTTATTATTTAAGTTGCTGGTGTTAGATAAAAAAAAAAAAAAAAAAAGTTCGATTGGTTTTAATTTTCAAGTACATGAAAGGGAAAACAATTAGTCAGGATTTTTAAAGTTGTATATTTATATCAGTGGAGGTAATTAGATGTCAAAATGACGTTTAGCGTTTGGAAAAAGAATAAAGAAAGAAGGATTATTTTTGGAAAGGAGAAAAGAAAGCAAACTTCTACATCAACCTGTCTAATATTCCATTGGAGTGTGTGCTTGTTATAAAGATCATTGCTTGCAATTATTTTCCTAATGATAAATTAGTTTCTCACTTGGGAGACAGGCAGTGGGGTTTTTCTTTACAAAGAAAGGTTGTCTTTAAATATAGTTATAGGAATTGGAATGGTAGCTAGCTAGAGGCTGTGTCCATGATTCCTTTGTTAAAGTTAGAAAATGAAGATTCACATATTATAGCTTCTTTAATTTGAGGTGGGTGAATCTAGAGCTTAAAAAAATAAATCTCCTAGTGATCTTCTATTAGTAAAAGCAACAAATAATGTGCACTAGATGGAGTAGTTGTTAATTGTCATGGGAAGGTTTCTTGTTACAGAAAAGGAATAACATATATATGTCATGTTCTGCTGAATTACAATTTTAGTCTTCCATTTATAATCTGTGATTTTATCTTTTAGATTTTAGTTCTCACTTATTTTATTTTGGTTTTCATTTGAAATATCAGAAAATAACTTAACTAAGTAAAAGGTAAAAGTAAGATGGATAGTGTATTTGTTGGGGTAAGAAGAGAGAAGAGGAGAGAAAGAGAAAGAAAGAAGTGGGAGGAATCTAGGGGATGGGTCCAATGAAGAGGGGCAGGGTTTGCCACCTAACCCACCAACATGTATCGTGCATTAAGACGAAGCTCTTTCGCATCAACCATTATCCCTTATTGCATCAGTCTCAGCCAAGCCCCTATCTGATGATGCCTTTGTGTGTATACTACCTATGTGATGAGGCTTCAAAAGCAAGGCTAAGCTAAGCTAAGCCTGTTGTTACCTTCTTCTTCTTCTTATCATGACCCCACCATAGCTGCTTTTTTTTGTCCTTTTCCCTATCATATATATCTCCATCTACTTCCCACATTGCCACTGCCTCCTCTCACTATACCTTCTCCCAACGTCCTTCCAAATGCCCTGCACTACATCCCCTATATATTATATACATATATACATCCAATTGACTAATTAAAAATCTCTTTGAAGAAAGCCAAACAACTTTCATATATTTATCTCTCTCTCTCTACCTATACATAATATATATGCTTTGTGGAAGTGCAACCCTAGTTAATTTGCTAGCTACTACATGTCAATGTGTCCAACACTTTACCATACTAAACAAGTCAACCATGAGTCCATTTGTTAATGTCATATGTGAAGATTATTGGGTGAAGGAGCTAGTGTTTTAATCAAAAGTTTAAATTGTGGTCCAGTTTTGTTGTAATCTTTGATGTTGTAAGAAATTACAAAAATGTGATCGGTGTAATAGCAGATGCAATCATAGAGATCAGACTCTAAAAATGTTGATGCTGTGACTGGAATATAAAACTGTCTTATAAAACCTTGGTTTTATTGTACATTTTCAAAAGGGTTTTAGTTTGACTTATAGTGCAAAGGCAAGTGATAAGAAATTTAAGGATTGGGTATGAGAGAGGAACAAAGAAATAAAAGGTTCAGGAAATTACATTCATCCGTCCAGGCAAGAACATTTATTGACTTCTGATGGAAACTGCAGTGGCACTACCACAAGTTGCTAGAGAGGCTTGAGCAGTTGTGTGTAAAACAGTGCATATTATTATTATTTTTATTTTATTTGGGAATTGGGTTTCACATGAAACAATGAAAAAGGACATAGATGTACAATTTTGCTGTGGATGATTGGTGTATTTTCTAATTTTCATACATATGGAGATGAAATCAGTACCCAAAAATATGTACATCAACTGATAGTGTCAATATGGCAATGAAGCTTCATCTACACGTTTAAGAAGTAAAAAGTACATTCAACTTTACTACTGTTATTTTTTCGTTATTATTTTGTCATGCATCATCGTCATCTACATATATTGTATTTTCAAACAGGAACTTTGCAGACACATAGGACCCATGAAAGGAATTAAATTTTCAACAAATGGTCCCATTTTTGCTAAATCAGCCATATACATGCACGACCATAAATTCTTCTTTGATTTAACGACCTTGAGACTTTCTGATAAGTACATTAATTGATTCGACGTTTATAATTGACCCTATGATTTTGACACCATTATAAATCCAGATGATTTTTTAATAATGTAACCTGCTTAAAATTTTGATTGATGTATACGTGTATATGATCTGCAGTAAGTTTTCTGTATATGAACTGAAATGTTATTTAGCTGAGAATCACAACGTAGTGTTAATTTTACTTTGATGTGGAATTGAAAAATCAGTGCTTTGTTCATACTTTATTTATTTTTTATTTTTCTTGGTGAATTTGTTTAAGACACACGATGAATTCTTTAAATATTTTAGTGGTGAAAAAGATAAAGTTAAAGTACATAGCTAGTTATTAAATTTATGAAGAATTTTCTTTCTAGATTTGTATTCAAATTATTTTTGTAGGCGTTTGTTGAAAAGTACAACATAAATTGACTCCTTTATCTTGTGGAAAGTTTGAGGACACAAAGTGGATGTGGTTACCCGTTTAATTTACTTTTTCTTTCATGTTCTTTGCCATGATTGCAAATACATCTTCAAAGGAAAAATATTAAAGATTTTGAACAGTATGGCAATTTGAGTAATTCTTTGAAAGTGCGGGAGAAAATTAGGTAAAAGAAAGTGATAAGGTAAATAAAGAAAATGGTAATCAAAGTTTAGGAATGGTTGTTACATGCAAATGGTTACAAAAGATCTAAAACCATGATTAAATAATAATATATACATGAGATATAAATCTTATTAGTTTTATAAAATTTAATAGATTTTTTTAATGATTAAATCTAACCATGTTTAAATATTTTATCATTTATTTTTGGATAATAATTATTTATATCTCAATATAAAAAAAACATTAATATTTTGTTTATTTCTACTCATTTACTGTGTATATATTGGTTTGCTCTTACTTATTTTAGTGAATTTCAGTAATGAAAAAGTGAGTTCTACTAGAACGGTAAGAAGGTGGGTGATTTGAGTAATAAATATTTGAATCCTCCTTGTTAATTTATTTTATCTTCTAATTTCTACTTAATTTATACATTTCTTCATGTGTACTAAAAATATTATTATTTAATTATCTTATATTCAATTACATTAATTACGATAAATTTATTTAAATCCTTTTAAATTCATTATTTTTGTGATAATTCAAACAATCTCACAATTTTAGTTAAATTTACTCCCTGAAACACTGGATGAAATCCAAAAACAAGGTAAAGACTTAATTAATCTTGTTCTAATTTATTTATTTTTAAATGAATATGATGTTAAGAAAGAGAAGATATAGAGTAAAGAATCTGTGTATTGTGATGATGGGACATGGATAGGGTCCCATGGAAATACTGGTTTGATATGTAGCCAAAGGCAAGGAGGTCTCACTGCTTCAAATGCCTTTATTAGTTGGAAACTGAATGGGTACTCACTCCATTGGCATAGGGTGGATCCATGTTCCTTACTCTTTCTCTTCATTTTCTATTATTTCTCCCCTCTAAACTCTTCTCTCAATAGAAGAATAAAAATAAGAAAAACAGATTTAAAACAAATCCAAAATTCAAGTGGGGAAGAGAGAAGAAAAGAAAAGAAAAGAAAATATTAGGTAATTAATGAATCTTCTCCTCCACATGCTCTTATGCTTCTGGTGTGTTCATTTTACTCAAATCCCATGTGCTATCTTTGCTTGTCATCTCTTTTTCTAGAGTGTTTCCCTACTTTATTCTCTCCCTCTCAATTTTTCAAATGTGTTGGGTTTTGGGATTTTCCTACAAGGAAGAGATATCCACTGATAGTGATACGTCAACTACTGGTCCAGTTTTGTTTTTTCTTTTTTTTTTAATTAATATTTTTTTTTATTTTACTTTCTCGTGTGAAATAGATGGCCCATGCATCAGAACCGTCCATTGCGGAGGAACTTGCTTGATTGTATCATCCTGAAAGGGTGTTTGCTTGTAAGAGAAAGAGAAGCTATATTGCTTTACTTCCAAAAGGAGATAAAATAAAATAGTAATTACACTCTCATAGCTGAAGATGTTGGTAATTAACATCTTAACAAATAAAATAAAATTATTTATGTTAATATCCTTTTGTGGTAAAGAAAGTTATCTTGATTGATTCCTTTAATTATAGAAATTCAAAATAATTTGGTCTTTCCAAAATGTTCAGAAATATTTTAATTATTTTATTACAAATAAATAAATAATTACGTTAAACTTGTTTTTCTTTTTCGGATTATTGGATGTAAAAACTTGTTTGGAATTATAGTCTATTTTCTCTGTATCCGACAATAAATGTATTATTTTATTTTAAAAAATAAATAAAGAGTCGGAAAAGATTGAGATAAGGACCAAGAAAAACCGAAAGAGAAGAGCAATAGTATAAAGGGAACATCTTTCTTCTTCTTTTCTTTCCCTTTTTTTTTCATTTTCAATAGGGAAATTTTAATTTAAATTAATAATTACGCCACGAGTAAGTTAAAATTAATGTATTTATTATATGGCGTAATTTAATCTACGTTGATTTTAAGAAAGTTTAGCATACATATTCCTCCAATTTTAAAAAATAAAATAAAAAGTTTGTAACCCTAGTTAAAAGTAATATTATTTAAAGGATTTAATAATATATAGATTGGTAATTATAGTATTGTTATGGTTAATACGTTTTCAATACTTGTAATATGGGTACAGAAAATTCAATTTTAGTTACATAAATTAACAACAACAAAAAAACTCAGTTTTTCAATTTTTCAAAACATGTTTAGTCTCTAAATATTTAAAAATTAAACTTATTTTTTAAAATCATTTTTAATTCTTAAACAATAATATAAGAGACTTTTTTTTTCAAAGTAAAAGAACTATTTTTTTTTTTAATTTAGAGATCAAACCCCTATAGTCTCTTGTAGTTATCATCAACTATTAAGATGAGGTGTCAAACATTATTTATAATTACTTTATTTTTATTTTATTGAAAATTATCTATAGTTTTGGCACATATTATAAAACTATCTATTAATTTAAAAACAAAAAAAAATCATAAACAATCTTGCTTTAAAAGAAAAGGTGTAGCACCCACATTTTACGATACTTTTTAGGACAAGTTTTGTTCTGAAGTTATGTTATTGAAGGAAGCATTTCTATTGTGTTTATATATATATATATATATATATATATATATATATATATATATATATATATATATATATATATATATATATATATATATATTTTGCTTCCAATGTTCCTTGGAAATCAGCATGTTAGATGAGAAACTTGAACTTAAGAATGATCCTATATTCGTTTGGTTTGAATCGAGGATAAAATTAATTGATGATATTTAATTGAATTGGTTTGATTTAGTTTATATATATTTTTTAAATAATATTAATTTATATGAAATCAATTAGATTATGATTGTATAGGTTTCATTAGAGTTATTGGATTATATAAAATATTTTTTATATTTTATGTTTTGATTGTTATTTTTTGTCTATTTTATATCATGTTTTAATTGTACATTAGTGTAAGATAAAAGTATACTCTATTCTTTAATAAATAATTACTTATTTTAATTAATATTTAATTTTTTTATACTTATCACTTTATAATCTCATTATTTTTTACCAATTGATAAAAAAAAACTAAATCAAAACGTATATGAATTTCAACTAAAGTCTATAATATTGTATTGATATGTAAAAGTTGAGAATTTGTTTAGGTCATTGGATTGGTTAAGTTGGAAAAAGATAAATTTGAGAAGCAAACTATGATTATTTTGGTCCAAAAATAGAATGAATAAATTATCAAGTTAATTTACACTAAATTAAATGGTTTAGTTTAAATTATCGATTTGATAAATTTGATCAAATGATATATGTAAGCTTTTTTTTCTCTTCAA